CTAGACGGGTTTCGGTGGGCGCGAAAAAGTAAGCACGGACATAACTCGTTCTTTGATTGTGAAGAGTAAACTGGCTAAATGATAAAGGAGGGGGGGGGCGGGGGAAGAAGGGAGGGCGAGAGGAAGAGGAAGGGGTGGCATGGAAGAGGGGAAGAGAATAAAGGGGGGAGAGGGAGAGAGAGAGAGAGAGAGAGAGAGAGAGAATATTGCAGGTATTCCCAGCTGCTAAATTTTGTGCTGAAAAATAGAGGAGAACCCGCAGCCTGGTGGAAGGAGCCCATTTAAGTTGGGAGGAAGGTTGAACTTTAACAGAAATGGCAGTCAAGCCAGTCGAACGGGTTCCTGAAATATCCGAAAAGGTTTTCTGTTGCCCCTGGCTTTGCCGGGAAAGGATAGGTTTAGTGTGCCTGAAGATTGATGGCATGTATTTTAAATTGAGGTAAAAAACACAGACTCAGTGTGTGAGCATTAAAGCGGGGACGGCTGCACGAGCCCCCGTGTCGCCTCTGTCCTCTGACACATAAGCATCATCTCCCATGTCCGGTGGATGTCCGCACACATCACTGTAAACAACAGGGCCCACCGGCTTCCTCCCCTCTCCCCTCCAAACGCTGAGACGACGCCTTCTTGTTCTGTTTTTTAATCTGCACACCAAGCACCTCGGGGCGATCACTTCTTCCCATCAGGAAAGTCCCTCTCCAGGAACCAGGACACCTCCTGCTACACCAGCCCCCTGCCATGCTCTCCCTCCCTGCCCTGTCCCAGGAAACAGAGGCTGCTGAGCGGGCGGCTGTCCCCAGCTCAGTCCACTGAAGTTCTGCCTCTTTCCTGCTAAACTTTTTCCCCCCGTCCGCCTCTGCCAGCCCCCTCGTCTGATTACATCTAGTAATTCTCCACTGAATGAACGTCATTTACAATAGTAGGGGAGCTCTGCGCTGGCTGCTGCTTCACGCTCCATTTGTCCTCCATTCTCCCTTTAAAGTACTCGTGTAATATTAATAGTCATGAATATCAATTATTATGAGGCGGTGTAGGCAAGCGGAGGGAGGAAGGGGCGCCCCAGCAGTCTGAGCCCAGCTGCGGGTGGAAGAGGACTGCTTCTGGAGCCCGGAAAAAGAAAAAAAAAAAAAGGCAGAAGGGAAAAAAAAAAAAAGGCCAAAAAGACAGCAAGAGACCGGTGAACAGCTGTGTGTGACAGGCAGTGCCAATCTTGTTTGGGGGTGGGGGGGGATTTTTTTTTTTTTTTTTGATGGCTGGCCCTGGAAACACTTCAAGCTCGGCTTCTGTGTCCAGCCCGTTTCTTTGCTGGACTCCTTGATTTTTTTTTGGAAATCATTGTTTGATTTTGAGCAGTAACCAGGCTTTTTTTTCCAGATGTTAGTCCACACCTATTCATCCATGGTGAGTTTGGATTCACGTTGTACCAGAACTGCATGCTCCCTCTCGCTGTCTCTCTGCGTCTCTCCGTCTCTGTGTGCGTGTCTCACTCTCTCTGTCTCTGTCTTCCTCGGAGCGCCTTTGGCTTGGTAATTTAGCACCATAATTGGACGAGGCTGCAGCTGCTTCTCTTGCATTGTGTGTTCTCCGTCTGAGCTCTTGGAGTCAGCTGGGGAGGGGAGGGGGGGAACCAAAGAGAAAACTTTTCATTTGCCACTGCAGTTTAGAAATTGAGGTGACTATTTCTCCAAAAAGAAACGCAGGGACTTTACCGTGGCATTTCCACAGCGGAGAGGGAGAAACTTCAACACCCTTCTCTCTCTCACAGACCTCCTCTTTTTTTTTTTTTTTTTTTTCACTTAGTTTACCACTCCAGATAGGACCAACAGGGAGTTCTGGGCTTTTTTATTTCCCCTCCTTCCAACCCCAAGTCCTTCATTTTCACACCCTGGAGTATCTAATAGCATTAGATAGAGAAAGGCAACCTTCGAAATAGCTCCTTCAAACCACAGCTCAACTTCACAGGGGCTTAGGATGTGATTCCTAATGAGATCCATTTCAATCAAACACGATTTCAATTCATCCCTCTTGGGGCGGGAGGGGGGACTGGGGACCCAGATCACACAGATTCCTCGCAGCTCCTGGAATTGTCGGGCGGTGTGGGGAGTCCCTCGGGCAGCGCCCCCCCCCCCCCAACCCGGGGTTGCCAGTGAAGGAAGAAGTTGGTTTTGAACTGGAGGAGCAGCACAGCTGACAGGGTGCAGTTTCATCTGTTGTGCTTGGGAACCCTGGCAGAGTTAGAAACAATTGCCCTAAACAGCCAGAAGAGCAAAGACGATCTGTAAGCCGGCTCTATTTTTAACGAAGGACTTGAGAACCTCACCCCATGCACAGCGATTTCCCCCTCGCCCTTTTTGCTGGCTTTGCACTCCCCACGGAAGGCTCCGATGTCGGTTGTGTGGGTGACTCTCCCCATTCCCTGCCCCCCAAAGCCTTGCCTTTGGAATTGCTGAAAATCACTCGCCCTCTGAGTCAACTTGGCCGTGTAAGTTTCAGACTCCTGCTTCCCCCGCCCCGGGAAGAAGCACTGAAGCCGGTTCTCCATTTGTCGCTTGTATTTTTTTTCTTCTTCTTCTTCCCCTTCTCTTTCCTCTCTCTCTCTCCCTTTCTCTCGGCTCCCAGGACCGGCACGATGGCGTCCCGAGCCACAGCTCTCGGCTCTCCCAGCTGGGCTCGGTGTCCCAAGGACCTTACTCGAGCGCCCCGCCGCTGTCCCACACCCCGTCGTCCGACTTCCAGCCGCCCTACTTTCCGCCCCCCTACCAGCCGCTCCCCTACCACCAGAGCCAGGACCCCTACTCCCACGTCAACGACCCCTACTCCCTGAACCCCCTGCACCAGCCCCAGCAGCACCCCTGGGGGCAACGGCAGCGGCAAGAAGTGGGTTCGGAAGCCGGCTCTCTCCTGCCCCAGCCCCGGGCCGCCTTGCCCCAGCTCTCGGGCCTCGACCCCCGGAGGGACTACCACTCGGTCCGCCGGCCCGACGTGCTGCTGCACTCGGCGCATCACGGCCTGGACGCGGGCATGGGTGACAGCCTCTCGCTGCACGGCCTCGGCCACCCCGGGATGGAAGACGTCCAGGTAACCACCACCGAACAAACGAAAATGACAGTAAATGTATCGCGAAGGCTGCGGGAGAGGGGAGCGGCGGGGGAGGGGGGCTGTCTCCTGGGGGAGGTAGGTTGCATCTTTAGGGACCCGCTGGACACAGCATGTGTAACTGTTTCTGTCTGTAGGGACGTGTGTGGCTCTCTAGTGGCGATGCCTGGAGGTCCGATTATGAAAGTAGAACCGCTAGGAATGAAATCATGAAGGAGGGAAATATATGTGTGTGTGGCTTGATCGTTTAGCATCATCAGCATCAAGGCTGGATGTGTTTGTCTCGCCTTCGCTACCGGCCCCTTCCTGTTCGCTGGTGTGTTGTGTGAGCGACCTGGGGACCCTCCCCACTGCACCGCCTCGCCCAGCCCGTCCTGGAGTGGGCCTGGCCCCAGGACTGGGCAGGTGAAGACCCAGCTGCCTAGCGGCTGGGGCTACTGCGCGGAGGCACAGGGTCCTCTGTAGGCTCAGAGGTTCTGCTGGATTTGCAAAGACTTGGCTAAGCATGACAGGGCACATTGGAAGAAAAACATGGGCTGCCTTGATCCAAGCCAGGTATCCCTTTGAATGTCCCATAACCTGCAGGTCCCTTTGCCAAGATGTTTGAATTCCAGAATCATCACCCAAGAAAGTGAATATTTGTGGGGAGACACCCAGAGAGCCACAATTCTGTTTGAGAGTCCACGAGCACAACTACTATTTGAGAGGTCCAGTTCACCTTTCGGTCCATTAAATGCCCGTGGAGCAATATTCTCCAGGTCCCTCTTCAACCCTCCCCCTCCATTAATACTCTTTCCTCCTCAATGTTACCATCCCAATGGAAAGGCATCACGTGTTTATTTCTTAAAACAAAAGGCTCAAAACACTCCCCCAACCCACACACCATCCCATCTGCAACCTACACAATGGAGCCTGATTTGGTTGAGAATACTTGATTAAACTAAACAAAGAGACATCAAAGAAATGCTTTTTAAAACCTGTCTGGGTGATTCTAAGCAGGTCTCCTTTGGCTCTTTAGTTTAAATAGTCTCCAGAAAAGATAAATATGGTTGAAAGGTATTTAATTGACACTTTGGTCTCCTTGGCATAGTTGTATACTTTGTGCATTATGGTAGGCATACCTCGGAGGCAAAGAAAAACGAAATGGGAAAGGGAAAAGGGTGCACGAGTCCTTCCTCTCTATTTTGATGAAGAAAAAAAAATGTATGCTGAACAGTTAAAATGCGGTGGCAGCATCAAATGCTGTCTGTGGGTAGTCTGTGATGGTTTACTGTTTTAAAGGAAATCAGTTATTTATTGTTTCCAAAAAATGACGGTCTCACCTGATTTGTGGCTGAATTTACCCACCGTAATAAGAATGATAGTTTTGTTGATTTAATCGAGCTTGACTGTCCCTGTCTGGAGATCATGCTCATTTCAGAATATCATATGAGAAAATATTTAATAGTTGTGGTTTTTTTAATGCATTGGGGTGATGTGTGTCTGGGGGGAAGGAGTTTTTAAATTAACCTTTCTGAGTACGGTTCAAAGTGCTAGATAATGAAAGTGGATCAGCTCATCACCATTGCTGTTGGCAGTGCTGACACTGGCTGTCACCTCACCCCCACCCTGCTGGCCAAGTGGCTCAGGTGACCCAACAGAGGAATTCCCCCCAAAGAGGGAACATATTTATTTGGTTTTAGATGTTAAAGAAAGAGATCATTGTGAGGCGCTTTGAGTGTTTGGCCAAATGTGAAGTGCGAGAGAAAAACGGGGCCAGGTCTGTGCATTTGGGAGAGCACCCCTGTCAAAGCGTGGGGTGGGCCCAGCTGCTGCAGGTGGGAACGCAGACCACAGCGGCTAAGGTAGCTCAGAGGAGAGCCGGTGCAGGCCCAGCCTCACGGGTTCCCCACCCCACCCCACCTCTGCCCAGTTCCTTCCCAGAAGCATCCCAGCCAGGAGTCCGGGGAAGTGGGGAGGCTCTGGGGACTTTGTGTGGATGATCCCTGGTGCTAAGGGTGTCGAAGGATACACCCCACACCTTTCCCAGATGGGGCCCATCTCGTGAGGTGTGCTTGTCTTGACACAGGGTAGATGACAAAGACGGGGAAGAGGAGATGTATCCAAGACCAGAGCCCAGGATCCAGAGGTTCCATTTCCAGCTTCAGGATCTGGAGCTTGGGGGGCCCAAAGTTACAGGAACCTGCTGGGTCTCAAAGTTCCCTGCAGCCAGAATGGGCTTGCTGGCGGGGTTCCACAGGCCTGGGCTGTAGTCACTGGTTCAGTCTCAAAGGCCTAGTGTGTGTTCTGGACCCTCACCCCACCCGCCAACCAGACAGATCCCGAGAGTGCTGTCTGCTGGCGGACTTCACAACCAGGGGTCCTCATCTGGCCAAGGGTTGGGGGGCTGTTGTGACACACACACACACACACACACACACACACACACACACACACTCATGGCCACCGCCCCAACCATGAGAGACGGAGGAGAGCTAATTAACCAAATGCTCCTAATATTTTTTAAATGAAACTATAAAACCCTGTCAATTTCTATTTCAATTTACTCACAGGGGCTATTAAACTAGCAAATCGCTGCTTGGGTTCTGGGTATGCTACATTTCACCCAGTGTGTGTGTGTGTGTGTGTGTGTGTGTGTGTGTGGTGTGGAAGGGGGCAGTGTTTAAAAAAAAACAACTTAGAACAAACAGCATCAGAAAGAAAGAGGGACTGAGATGACACCTCGTTTGGAGTTTGTTTAGTTACCAGGAACACCTCTTTTCTTCTTCCCATCAGTTGCTCTCTCACCTCTCATCACCTCTACCACCCATGAGTATAAACACATGAGGATGTTCGGTCAAACCTCCCAACGCGCGCGCACGCGCACCCCCCCACACAGGCGCACACACTCACTCCCACACACCCCGGTGTCTTAAAGCAACCCCTGGTATCACTTTTAACTAAAGAAGTCTAGTAATTACGAGTCTGAGTTGTTTTTCTGCGCTTCCGCATGCAGTCCTAATTAAATCTTTACGATCCTCCCTGTGACGATTAAGCGCCAGCATGCTGCGTGAATATCCTGTACAAAAACCCAGCAGGCGGCCGTAATTAGATAGAAAATCAGACAAGAGCCTTCTCATTAACTACCACAACTACCCCACGTCGCTGATGAGGCGTATATACATATTTACGTACCGACGTGAGGGTGAGGTGTGGGGGGCGCACTGGTCCGGGCGCGTGAGATCGCGGGGCTCTGCCCGCCCCCGGACACAGGCGAATGCTCTGGTCCTGCGTGGACACGTCGCCACTGTAGACACGTGGGCACAGAGAGCCGTGAATCGTGTGTGTGTGTGTGTGTGTGTGTGTGTGTGTGTGTGCGCGCGCGCGCGGTGGGGTCTCTTGAGGAGTTTCCAACAAGTTCCATGAAGTCGTGTTTTTTTTTTAAAGGCTTTTTGCTATTTCTTAAGATGTGCCTGGCATGTTGCAACTTGGAAAAACGGTTCTTACTGAGAATAACAATTTCCCTCACCTTTCCGAGAACGGAGGAGTGACTATTAAATACCCAAAGAAACAGAGTAACATGCCCCCTCCACGATTAGATCATCTCATCTCTAGTTTCGAACGCGCTGCTTGTTTGGGGCAGGCAGTCTCTCCCCTGTGAGGAGCACACACCTTGTCTGGGATGCAGCACGAGGGGGGGAGGGGAAGTGCTGTAAAAACTCCGCCTCGCTCCCGGGCCCTTTGCTTCGGACTTCTCTGTACAATGGGTGACGAATTGGTCCAAACTTAGATTCCTGTGGATCAAGGAAAGCAGTTGTCCATTTCAGAAGGACCCAGCATTTATCCTCATTGCACGCAAGGGCGGGGAAGGGAACCCACTGCTTTTGGAGGCCCAGGGATGCACAGCCAGACAGTGAGAAACCCATTCCAACAGCTCTTTCCCCTCAGAAGTGCTGCCAACACCCAGGGTGGAAACTTGCCTTCTGAGGGATGAAACTGTGGCACAGAAGATGAATGCTCTTGCCAATCGCCAGGTGCTGACTGGGAGCATCCGGGCCTCTGTGTGTCTGTGTATCTGTAGTGACTGCCTTCCTAACAGGTGTGCTTCCTGCTGGGCAGCTGGGTTGAGAGGGGAGCAAATTGTGCAGGTTCCTCCGAGGGACTGTTGTACAGCAGGAAGTTCACAGCGCTCGGGATGTGTGTGGACTACAGTGGGTGTGCGGTCCTGGTGGCTTGCAAACATGTTCCTATGTGTTGCTGTTTGCATTCCATTCCAAATTGCTCAGACTTTAATTAAAATCCCGTAATGTAAACTGTTATGTATTTGTGAAATGATTCTGGAGTTAAGATGCTCAGGGATAGAATAGAAAACTGAAATTGCTCTTACTAATATTGGTGGAAATCTTTCAGCTGTTGCCAAATTTTCACAATTCATAAGAGCAAATAATATAAACGTTTATATGTCTATGTAATATCTGTGTTGAATATAATAACTGAACCAATACCACATCCCAGATGACTTTCCCAGTTTCCTTTTTCCTCTTCTTTCATGGGAAGAATGTATAATTTGGGTGGATTTCATCTCGATGTCGATTTGGAGATAATAATGATAATAATAAAACCTCCCTTTGTGAATTAATATAAATGGAAATAACAGACACTCCAGTTTGGAATGACATGATTTATGTGTGCGATTCTTTAATATCCAGTCAATTTGAATAGTGATGTTTTTATATTCACAGTCAGTTGAAGATGCCAATAACAGCGGCATGAATCTATTGGACCAGTCTGTCATAAAAAAAGGTATGGATTATTTCCCCCCAAAAGTAACCAAAGTTCTCCTGTGCATTCATGTCTTCATGATGAGTTTTTCACTTTGGGCAATTCATTATTTTATAAGACACAAATGTTTGTTCACAATTACAGAACAGCGGCTGTCTGGGTGAAAGGGCATGTCGGGAAGAAGGAAATGGGGGGAGGAGGGAAAAACAAAACCGCAGGCAGAAACCCGGATGAGAGAGACAGAGGGACAGAGACTATTGCCATTTCTCTCCTGGTACATTTGGCAGCAATTCTAGATACTCTCTCAAATAATTGCACTACCATCATGTATGGAACTAGCTGGGAAACACTGCTTTCAAAAATGTACTATAATTATTTCATTGATAACTGGAGTTTGCTGAACTAAACCCTAGGTCATTGAGACAGTTCCCTCTCTCCTTGTTTTTGTATTTGGTTTTTTCGGTGGTACTCTGTTCCCAGGACTCTGTGTTTTATGAGTTGTTCCTTATTTTGTTTAATTGTGCCAAATGTGTTGCTAAATATGCGCATCCTGAGAAGCCGAGCCAGCCAATGCACATTTCTAAGTCTTCCTACATATGCGTTCATGATTTAGTGTGACTGTGGAATCACCCCATACTGTTAAAGGGCATGCGATATTAACAAATGTTTGCAGTCTCTTGTACAGCTGTAAGCAAAATAATTAACTAATTAAACTAATTAAATGTAATTACAATAACTCATTTCGGGCGTATTGCAGCTGCTTAATTTTTCCCCCTTCTTCTCTGACTGTCACTGAGAGAATGCGTGGCGATTAGTGTGGCTGTCGCAGGGCCCGGATGTCACTCACATGCCACAAATTTAGGAGCTTGAATGTGTAAACAGAACGATCTTTAATTATCACAAGAACTGGTGTTTGGAGATACAATTTTAACTACAGTAACCCTTTCTTATCTATGCTGGAGAAGACCTGTCCTTGTTTGGTGTCAACAAGCCCCAGCCTCAGTCATTTATGATTCCTGGGAGCCACATGACTTGCACAAAAACAATGAAAGATGTTTTGGAAAATAATCCAGAGTCGAGCTGATAGGGTAGGAGGGTTGTGAAGTGAGGATTCCAAGGAGGGTGAGGCATTCTGCATTGTCTTCTTTTACAAAAGGCAGAGAAAGTAGCTCTGAGAGGTGGGAGCTGGGAGGTGGAAGCTTAAAATGATGCCATTTGGCTTTGGAATGACGGAAGAATAGTAAGGTTTGGGGCAAAACTACTTAAGTGTTGCTTTAAATATCTCTCCCTCTCTTCTTTAGATAGTATCGTTTCTTCAGTTTTTAATGCCAGCTTTTGGGTTTGCTCCAGTGTCTGGTTGCTTAGATTTGCAACTGTGCTGACAGCTCACTTTCACCATTTCCTCTTGGGTCTTCTCTTTTGGTTAATTGCTGGTTAATGGGGGGGGGGGGGGGGCGCGGGGATGGGAGGTGTAATTCTTCATTGGCTGCTTTTGTTTCTTTTTGTTTTAGTTCCCATCCATTTTCATGGAAAGCCAGAAGCCTTAGCTCAGAGTTCCAGATCCTAGAAGCAGCATTTGGGCTGGCAGTGGGCATGCCAACCGATGACCAATCAGAAATGTTATTCATAGCCAGGCCAATAAGCATAATTGGAATTTAGCTTGCCTAACCAAAGGGAGCTGAACATATTCTCAGATGTGTGAGGCTTTCCTTTCAGGGCCTGTATGTGTTTGTCATCAGAATGTGAATATTTACGTGTGAAGGTATCTTCAGGAATAAGAAAAGGAGGATATTGACTAAAGTTACTGGTTTTGTTTTGGAAACATGCAGTACTTGTTATGGCCCTAAAAGGTTGTTGTTTTTTGTTTTTTAAAACAATGTGCATCTTAAAACATCTAAGTGGCACCCTTGTCACTTTATTGATTTAGGGGTGTGGTATGAATAGGAAGTGTTAGGTTTACTCCATTATTTAATATTTTAGGTATTTGCTTTATTACATGAAGAAAAGATCCCAATATCATATTTTTAGTTTTAGAGAGTCATGGGTGATATAGGAGTAAGTGGTTGATTGACTTTTGTAAATTACTATGTACCACTTAAAATAAGGTTATGAGTTAGTTCATTAGTTCCTTCTCTGCTCTTTGGTCTCCATCTTTGTCCCACCCCCACCCCCCACCTTTTTTGTCTCCAAAAGATTAATTTCATAAAAGAGGAGGTAAGAAAGTTTTCTGAACAAAATATTCTAAATTTCAACAACTGGCAGGGGACTCGGTTGCTTAACTTATTTTCTAATGGGCTTTTAAAGAGATTTTTAAAAATTCTACCTTGTTAGTAGAATTGCCCCAACTGGCCCAGGTTTGGGTGTCTCTGCCTGTGTTTATGAAGCCAGGAAATTTAGGTAGAAAAGATCTCTCTCTCTCTCTCTCTCTCTCTCTCTCTCAAGACACCCCACTTTTAAAATTTGACCACCCCAATTTTTCAGCCATGTTGATATCACCCCATAGATTATAGGCTAGCTCTCTCGTTATGTTTGCTATCTGGGCTTAGCTGACATTTCTGAAGTAATTTAGTTAAGAGGAAATGAGTTGTTCCCAGTAGAGAGAGCAAACGAGTGGAGTGAAGGTAGCCAGCGTGATAAATGGCTCTTTCATTTGAGGATCTCCAGAGCTCGTTTACGGCTAATTTTCTGGATTGGCCCCCTTTGAGCTATTAATGCAATCGGCAGGGACCGTGGCCCCTCTCCTCTTAGCTGCCCCATTAGAGCTCCCATTAAGCTGCCAAGTCTCAGAGTCTCAACTCCATGGCAGAAGTGGGGGGTGGAGGGTGGGAATAATGAAAGGTGCTTTTTAAACTCTCCTAATCTAAACCGGCAGAGGGTGGTTAATACGATTTGAAGGGGGCTGGTCAATGAGCAATCAATAAAGTAATAATGAGAAGGATTCGGTACATTAACAGTCTAAAAATCCAACGAGACATTAAAAAATAATTCTTAACTCAGTTCCATTAGGATTGGGAATCTGGGCTGGTTGGGGGTGGGGGTGCCCAGCTAATACCATGATCACTGCCAACATCCTACAGACTAATTTAAAAAAAAGTCTCACCTAGATTTTAAGAAAAAAAAAGGTTTTGGTGCAATCAGAGGCCAATATGCAATTGGTTTCACACCTTAGGCATCAGAAAAAAAAATGCTGGGATTTCTTGGAAAGGCTCGTGTGGCTGGAGTCCAAGGTCCAAATGTGACTGTGGGGCATTTTCGTTGGTCTTAGGGATATCCTGTTTGGTTAGTTTCAGTGTAACCTCCATTCTCTCCCTTTTCCCCGTTAGTTCTGGCCCCTTCCCCACAAAAACACCTTGATTGGTGCGGATTTTCTTTTGGGTGGGGGAGAATAGAGAATTTGCCAATTTCAAATTACAGTAGGTTCTGCTGGGATTCTTCCTTCTGACTTCAAAGGTCAAAAGGACTGAGAGTCTGAAAAGGTGTGAGTTTCCTCTCCAGCGAAGAGGTGTGCCTTTCCAGAGCTGACTTGGATCCCTCTTGACTCAAGTAGGAACTCTGAGATACATTCCAGCCACCCAGGGAGGAATCAGCGTGCATAGAATTTCAAAGCTGGGAAGGTTAGACACGCTTCGTCCACACCCCACCCCACCTCCGCCTCCGGTGTGGGAACTCAGAGAGTCGGTCAATGACTTTCTCGAGGTCCCACGCGTCGAGTAAGCCATGGGACCCAATTCAGTTTCTAGCCTCTTTAGACTTTGTCCCTAAAAGGTGCCAGCACTGGGTGTCTGCAGCTTTTCTTATGTTCCAGCTTTCTTTGTGGGAATCCTTTTATTTTTCTCTCCAGGACTTCAGTCCTCATTTTGTACAATTGTTATATATACATTTGGAATCAAATGTAGCCCTCTGGTAGACGAGAAACAATGCAAGTGTAAGGAAAGGGGTGCTCTGTTGGTGAGAAGTAATTATTTCCAGCAATGCTCAACCTCTTGGAGGCTTCCTGGTATAGTTTACATATCTAAGCCCATGTACCTTTCAGAAGGACTTAGCCCTTGAATCTATTTCTTCCCTTCTCCCCCACCAGCAGATCAGATTAAGAGGGTCTGTTTCCAGTCAAACACAAAGATCTAAAAGCTACAATTTCACACTTAAGTTGAACGGATACAGATTAAGAGCTAGCCTATTAACACTTTGGTTCTATATAGTCCACTAATAAATAATATTCCTTCTAATCATTTTTCTTCCTCTTTTTTAAATAAAACTCCAGTCACAGTAATGGACTATTATTCAGTTTTTAAACCTTTTCCTTCTCCCCAAAATAATGCAAGGGAAAGGGGAGGAGGGGAGCAAGTTTTGAGGGTGTTACATCCAGAAGTTGGCCATGCCATCCAACTGAGAACTGAAGAGAGGAAAAAAACACACACACCACAAAACAGTTTTAATGTATGCACAGAAAATTGTAAACATGTAAAGAACTGAAAGCTTCGTGCTGAGTTTTGCTATGCTCCATTTCCTTACCATTTCCTGCTGTCGCTTTAAACCTATCTTAGTCATCTCTGGGTTCCGTGAGCAGGAACAGTGTACTCATAATTACTAACAAATCAACCGGGCCCTGTTGCTCCCTGGGTTTATTGATAAACTGGAGGAAAGCAGGAGGGGAAAGACCAAGAATAAAATATGGGGTTAATCAGCTGAGCTAAGCAGGTGTGAGAGTGGAGGGGAAGGTAGATGATAACAGTGCTATGGACTTACAGGAAAGTTGGGACTAGAAATGTGTAGGCTCTAGTCTAGGTGACCAGTGCTAAGGTCCGGGTGGAAAAGAGGTTTATAACCTGAGGTTGAGAAAATACAGGATAGGACTAGGACGGGCACTTAAATTTAAAAATGGAAATATCTGACGCATGTCTGTTCAAATTAGTTGTTTATGGATAAAAACAAACAAAAAACGCCTTCCCCTTCTCCCCCAGACAGCAGTGTGCTGACAGAAGCTGACTGGATTGGTGATATTTAGGTGATAATGTATATGTGGAAAGGAAGGTACAGCCCACGGGAGGGAGCAATACACATTCCCCAAAGGAAATAGCTCTTGTCAGGTAAATCAGGCAATTAACAATAGTGAAATTAGAGGGTAAGTTATAAAGTGTCTCTAAAGGCCTGGCTCTTTAAGAGATCTGGCATCTGGGGCTGTGAGAAGCAGGTACAATTCCAATCCTCAGGAGATATATTCAGTTATCCAGGAACTAGGAACTGAACTTACTATTTTTAGACGAGTGGGGTTTCTTCTGTTAAAATATTCTAAGTAGTATTTAAATATGAAAATGTTGCTGAGTACCAAGTGTGAGATTTCTATACAGTTTATTTCTACAGCTCATGCCATGTCAAAATACAAAGGGCAATCTATATTTTGGGGGAAAGTTTCCCAAGGTGATCTAATGTCAGTTTCCATGATCATAATTTATTTGTTTATAATGCTTGAATATGAATCTGACATATGGAAATTGGAACGCTGTGAGGAATAAGATTGATTAAAACAGATGTGGATGCTGTATAAGAGAATTAAATGATAGATGGTCCCATCCCAATCGCTGTCTATTAAGTGAATTTAACTCAAATTTAATTAATACTCACACTTCAACTTTTTACTGGCTCCCTCTTAAGTGGGAAGCAGCATCACTGATGAGAATATGATGAGGGGAATGAGAAAGAAGCAAGTCCCTCTGTAACTCACCACCTCCACCACGTCAGTGCACAAGATCCACTCTGCTAGCTGACATCATTCATCTGCCCTGGGATAAAGTCTTGGACTCTGTGGATAGAGCCAGAAATCCAAAAATATCTGCTAAGCACTGGCAGAAGGGAATGCTTCAGTCCCTACACCCGCTGCCCTAGGAAAGCCCCCTTCCACAAAATCTTTGTAAAGGGCCGAATACAATTCATAGTAAATGAAAGATTTGGGACCTAACTGGCTTTTAGGAGGCTCTATCAGTGGTTCTCAACCTTCTGGCCCTTCAAATACAGTTCCTTATGTTGTGACCCAACCATAAAATTATTTTCGTTGCTACTTCATAACTGTAATGTTGCTACTGTTATGAATCGTAATGTAAATATCTGATATGCAGGATGGTCTTAGGCGACCCCTGTGAAAGGGTCATTCGACCGCCAAAGGGGTCGCGACCCACAGGTTGAGAACCGTTGCTCTAAATAATCATGAAGGTCTGAATGCTGGAATCTGTGATACAGAGAATAAGCTGTTACCAAAATATGGTGCTGGTTAGTCTGTTCGATACCAGGGAAATTATACAACTTGTTTGACATGTAGAGTTCTAGGCTCCCGATGGCAGAAAGAGCATCTCTTTCTACTACCAGGATTACAGGGTGAGGCAGAGTCCTTATTAAAGAGGGGGAACGGAAGCCTCCCTTTTCAATAAATTTCCTGGACTGGTGATCAACAGATGCTGCTTGAATATTTGGAGCCTCCTTACCCAATGGAAGAAGCTAAGGTGTAGGGCAAGTCGGGAGAAGCCGCCTGCACAGTGGCTTCGAGAGCTTGCAGAAAGCAAATGGGTTTCGGCAGTGTAGAAGTCCAAGGGAGCCAGAGTGCCAGGGAACTGGGTGGTTGACCGTTCACTGTTCCTCATTCCCAGCCTTCTGGTTCTGCTGAGCCCCGCCTCTGCCTGGGGTGCAGATGACACTGAGACAATTAAACAGAAATACAGGCTGGAGACACGGAGTGCGCCTGGGTAGCAGTGGCAACCAGCTGTCAGCTCTTATTAACTTCTGCATAAAACATACCTTGAGTGCGGTTTGTTATCAATTACTTGCCGAAATGAAACAACTGGGGCAAGGCAAGACCGCAGCTCACATGAATTAGAGTGATTGGTTGATTGATCAGGGCACCTGTTGTAAATCATAAGGGCTCCAAACAATCACAGCCGGTGCTTTATGTTAATTTGTAAACAAAATTCATGTCACTGCGGAATTGCTTTCACTGGAGAGGAGCATTTGGGTTCATTTCTAAATGAATCTGCTGTTATGATGTAGGAAAGAATGCGATTCATTTTAGAGAAATGAGCAACTCTTTGGGGCCCAGCTCCCCAGCTTGATGGTATTTATTACTTGGGCGGTCTTGGGCACAGCACCTGATGGGACCCACCCTTTTGATCCTCTCCAGTGATGACCAGGATTTGGGTCCAGCGGGAGAGGAGAGAGGGCCCCACTGCATTACCATTTTATATCATGCAGAGTGACAATCACCTTCAGGAGACAGATGAAGAAACCAGACAAGATCCATAGAGGTTCAGTGACATGTCTAAGGTCACCAAGCCAGTATGTGATGGAATAGGATTTGCCCGGTTCCCTAGCACAATCCAAACTCTGGGTTGCGTCTTTATTTATGTATGTAACGAAGGGGGCCGTGGCCAGCGACACTCCTCTGTCTGCACACACGGGGTAAATTTCCAGAGGACTGACGGCTTTTCCATTCGCTGGTACACAGTGCCCTGAACGCACCGCAGCGCCACAAACACTTCCTCCTCCAGCTTTCCGCTCAGCGCGCGTCCTGTGGCCTGGGCCCTGCGCACGCACGGACACATTCTATCAGCCGGTCACCAGGATCGAAACCCGGTCACCTTTATGGCATATATTTTTTTTCTCTCTCTCTAGTTCCGGTTCCTCCCAAATCTGTGACTTCTCTGATGATGAATAAAGATGGCTTCCTGGGAGGCATGTCCGTCAACACCGGCGAGGTGTTTTGCTCGGTTCCCGGCCGTTTGTCTCTGCTCAGTTCCACTTCAAAGTACAAAGTAACTGTGGGGGAAGTGCAGAGACGGCTCTCGCCCCCCGAATGCCTCAATGCGTCTCTCCTCGGCGGCGTCCTCAGGAGGTAAAACGCCCCCACGCTTGTTTTTATGGGGCGAGGGGGAGAGGGTTCGCGCCAAAACCGCTGGGAAGCTGGACGCGGTTGCCTAGCAACCGGGCGGCCAGAGAGCGGAGCGAGCGGGGAGTTGCAGGCCGCACGTGGTGGGGCCGGGGGCGCAATCGCCCTCTTCGGCTCACGCTCTGCAGGTCCGCGCTGCCTTGCTCGGCCACGGGGTGCTCGACCCTGGGAACCTTCCACTTTCCCAGCCCTGGCCCGCGTCCCGCTCCCTCCTAACCCCAGGACACTTCCCGGGCATGCTAGCCTGAGTGAGACCTAAAAGCTACACACACTTACCTGAAACAGAAGTTTCACGGAGCAACCCCCTTCGTACCTGCAAGGTACTCGGATCAATCTCTCTATTTTGATTAAAATGCAGTTGGCGTCTAACTTGGTCACAACCCGCTAATGCACTGTGCCCCACAGTTTGGAACACTTTGTTCTAGACTTGTGATCTTCTTTCCTCAGTGATATTACCACCAATAATAACAATGACACCGCTTAGAAGTATCAATAGTTATTCCTTGGGGCCATTAAGATACGCCCTAATAGTGGAGGAAGACAATCCGTAGGCTCCTTGTGGAAAGTTGAGGTGGCTTTTATCTTAAGCTTTAAAGCCTCCCCCAGAGTCCCTGCCAAGGCCTGAACCCTTTGGTAATGGCACTGACACGAAGGTGACATTGTATGAGGTGAACTTCTCCGGTTAGCCCATTTCAGGGGTTGGTGGCCCCCTTCTTTCTGAAAAGTGGCTGTGGGAATAGCAAGAGAGGTCAGAGTAACCGGTTCTCTTCTTGTATTTTTGCCCATACCTTAGCAGGTACAGGGAGAGCCTTGGGAGGAAGTAAGGGTGTGACCTGCGGGCTTTTCTCACTTTGAATCCTCTAGCTGTGCTCTACTTCGGTTCAGTTTTCAAGTGAGTCCTTTGAGCCCCAGAGTGTGGAAGTTTCTTTCAATCACCCCCAGGCCTTAAGCGTGTGTGTATAAAACTTGCTATGAGATTAAGTGAGATAATATAAAGTGTTTAGCACATAACTAAACTCCCTAAAGTGTTAGTTTTACTGTTGTTATGATTAGCATCACCATTAGTTTCATGTTTCTATCTTCCTTCCCCTTTTAACCCAATTCCATTTTATAGTGACTCTTTTTTAAAAAATATATATATATATTTTATTGGTTTCAGAGAGGAAGGGAGAGGGAGAGAGAGATAGAAACATCAATGATGAGAGAGAATCATTGATTGGCTGTCCCGCACTGGGCATTGAGCCCGCAACCCCGGCATATGCCTGAGTGGGAATCGAACCGGTGACCTCTTGGTTCCTGGGTCGAAGATGCTCAACCACTGAGCCACACCTGGCTGGGCTTATAGCAACTCTTGACCCCTTCCCTGCAAAGCCCACCTGTTTCAGCTAGTGCCTCCTCCTCTCTGAACCACCAGTTCTTTCCTCTTTTCTGCATGGTTGTGCTCGCCCAGTTTCTGCTCACCTAACTGGCTCCGTGACAAGGAAAGAGCTTGAGTGTGTGCAACATCTACCTTCTCTAGACCCACAACCTACACCCTAATTATTCCCATCTGCTATCATTTTTTCCTCATGAGATAAAAAAAAGAAAATGCGCAATTTTTTTTATGCCCCATATTGCAGAAATTAAGCAAACCTCAGCGAACTGTCAGCAAATAACCAAAAGGAAGGGGGGAGATGTGCTAACCTCAAGTTAAAACCTCTTCAAGCTCCACTGGGCTTTAGATTGCTAAGTCTAAACTTTGTTTCAGGAACACTCCGAGGTTAATCAGAATGTTAATTCTTGCAATTTCAGAGCCAAATCGAAAAATGGGGGGAGATCTTTGCGGGAAAGGCTAGAAAAAATCGGTTTGAATTTACCCGCGGGCAGGCGCAAAGCAGCAAATGTCACGTTACTCACCTCCCTGGTGGAAGGTAAGCAAGACGTGTGGCCATTTCACGAAGTGGCTGAGCTTAACTGTCGGCTGAAGGCTGACATTTTACACATTTCATGATTAACTGGAAATCATTGCAATGGTTGTGCCCTTATGAGTGGATGTCAAGCGACTGGTGGAGAGAGAAGTTCAAAGGTCTTTTTACTTAGAGGGAGCCAGCGATTGTAGAGAGGCCACTGGAGGTGTATAAGGGTCCCGGTGCTGTGAAGAGTACTCAGGTTCAGCCTCCAAGCCAGTGCAGGGGTCACCTCTGCTGCCAGGTGCAGGGCAGAGTGTCTGAAATACCCTCTGAACTCTGGCAAGAGTCACTGTAAATAGCAACCCATTCTATACCCCTTCTCCTTCCCGGATTTTACGTCTGAATCAGGAGTAGCAAATACATTGTCTAGTTATGAAACTATTATTACGTTCATAATTCTCAGTGGTTATTTTAAACTCATGTCACTCCCAGGGCCCTATCTCCTGCTGATTGATTACATGGGACTTATTGTTATTGAAATACAGCTTAGTAAGGCCTAGGAGAAAATTGGGTGGGGCGTGAGGAAACATGGAAGGGAGTCATGTATGATCTTCAATATAGATCCATCAGTTATGAATTAATGAACATAATTACAACAAACACATTATTATTTGCTCATCATTTTGGGGTTGGGGGTGATATTTATGGTATATAATAAAAAGGATCTTCTGAAGTCTAGAACCAGAGGATCTGCTGTTGAATTTGTGGGACAAGGAAAGGACAGAAAATACATCCAGATGGTCCTAATGGGGGAAGTTGTAGAATTTTGTCTAGAGGCTAACATGTATGTTTTTCCTTCTATTTTCATGGGTGTTAGATTATGACACTCATGTGGGGAACTGGTTTTTGGAGGACAGGGTCTTAGACTATGTAAGCAGCAACCATAAAGTCATCACATTTATAGGCACCACACTTTGCCAGCTTTAGGGCAAAGTTGCCTGGCCCAAACTTACCCTCCAGTGGCAACAGTCACCAAATATCCAGACATTTATTAGTGGTTGATTCTCAGCCTGGGGGGTTTACTTTTTGCCCTTCAGGGAATGGGTAATATCACAATCCTCATTTTGAAAAGCAGTCATGGTAATCTCAACCCAAGACAGGGATTTGGATGGAAAAGGGTGGAACTGAAATTCCAGCAGTTGGTTGGCAGTTTTCAGTTTTATGAATTGTTGCAAGCACCATTTCTGGTCTTTTGTTGTTACTGTCATAATGATGATTAAAGTAAGACATGGTCCTTAAAAATAATGTGGCTATGGGAGAATTCAATGTATTTCTTTTTCATGTTTGGGATCGTCCCTCGAACTCCTAAGGCTGTGCTTTAAAGGGTGATAATGCCTTGTTTGAGAGGGGCTTCCACAGAAGCTGGGACCTCTCAGATATCCAAGTTTTCTATAGCTGCCCTGTCACCTTTGTGCAGTCGAAAGTCCTTAAGTAGAAGGATGATAACAGGGACCTCTGAAGAGGAGAAACCGGAAACATAACTAGCTAGAAACAGACACAGACACAGAGAATAAATATTCCATTGCTGGATAGAAATACTCATATGTGTAAGATGTATATGGAATAGCATCTTTAATGTTCCATATGGGACATCTTTAATATATGTGGATATCTGCACACATGATTTGTGTTTGTATATATTGGTTACGAATAAGAGACTTTTCCTAATACAAGTATAGGAAGATACAAAAGATAACACAAAAGATAGGAAAGACTTTTATATTTATCTAAAGTGGTATAATCCTACTAAGAAGAGTGGTAGCTATCTTGCATATCCAACCTAGTGTCTATGGGCAATTGTAAAGTGGCTTCTGAATATATCGGCCCAGCTTTTCCTTAAGACAAAGCATGGGGTGTGGGAGGCCCTGAAGCTATTCAGGGAATATCTAACTAAGAAATGGCTGCAAGGATAATCAGGGAGAGACTGGAAAAAGAGGCAGGAGCAAAGTTTGTTCCATCAAGTCAATTACAGCCTGAGACTCATTTTTACTTCAGGCATCTGTCACACCTTTGCTTTTGCCTCCCAACAGCTGGCCTCTTCTGTAAATAATAAGAATTGACCTCCTAGGGAGCCCCTCCTGCCCCGGCAGGGTGAGAGGCTGGGTGCTGATGATTACCTCTGCTGCTGCTTTTGCAGGAGAAGCTGTTCATTTAGCTCGGGATTTTGGCTACATCTGCGAAACAGAGTTTCCCGCCAAAGCTGTTTCTGAATATTTGAACCGGCAGCACACAGACCCCAGCGACCTGCACTCCCGAAAGAATATGCTGCTGGCCACCAAGTGAGTGTCGCAAATCCCTGACCTCACCTGGCTTGGGGGGGAGGCGGGGAGGGGAGGGCTGGGCAGACCTCCTTTTTTTGGGCAGAGAAAGTGCTCATCCATATAAGTAGGATTGATTGGCAGCCTGTGTATTGCAGGCTTGGAAGCCCTCCCCGCTCAGCCGGTAGTTGCTCCTTCCCCCTTACCCCTCCCCCCTCCCCCCTCCCCACTCCCCCTGTTAATTATGGGCTGTGGGTTTGGGGTAGTCTCTGTCTCTTCTGTTTCCAGGTTTCTGGGGAGGATGGCTTTAGGCTTCTGAATGCAGGCTTTTCAGAGTTCTCTTCTCCAACCCTGGGGAGAGCAGGCCGATCTCTTCTCCGTGGGTCCTTGTTCCAGTTCTTCCCTGGATCCCGATGTGCACATTTCTGCCTGGGTTTCACCTCTCCCTGTCATATCCACACAGCCACGTGTGCTCACTCAGGGTGTCTGTGGGGCCCCCACGTGTGCCCATCTCTACCCGCAGCTCTAATTACTCTCTTTCCAACGTTGCTGTTTGGCATCTTCCAGAGACGTTAAATTTACTACAACTCCAGAGGGGAAAATAGTAAATCTCTGGCTAAATTTAGGTCTAGAGCTCATTTGAACTTTTACAGTGGGTTTTCTATTTATTTGATTTACTCCCGTCTTTGGCTTCCGTGTCATATTGTTGGTGTTTTATGGCCGGCTCAGGCCTGCAGTGGGCGGCGCTGCGTGCGCCCGCACGTTTCTCTCGCAGGCGCGGCCCAAGCGGCGCGCTCATTTATTTAGCGCTGGAGGACGCGGTTTGCTCCGTTGACAGCGTAATTTAAAGAAATATATGGAAGGCTGAAAAATCATTTGCTCAAATTTGTCCAGATGTTTTTGAGACGTGATTGGAATTTGATTGCCCCTTTCCGCAGGGTCAAAAAATATTAATGTCCCAGAACTTTAATTGCTTACAGACCCTGGTTTGGGCTTTGAAGATGGAAAATGTTTGACTTTTAAGCATTTGTTCTCCCCAGTTCAGAATTTCCTTATTGGCACTTCGGTAATGAGTACAAACTTAAGGAAAGACTTGAACCATCTCTTCCAACGATCAAAACCTGGCACCCACCCTATTTTTAGAAGGGTTTCCTCTGATATTAACAGTAGCAATAGAATAGATCTTTGTCAGTAAATTGCCCTCCTACCCCTTGCCTTATGTCTGGTGTGTGTGTGTGTGTGGGGGGGGGGGGAGACCAGTGATGCTTTATAAAGGTAGTAAAGGTACTGGGGGGGGGGGAATAAAACCAAACGTATAAATTCGATGACAGGATTCCACAAACCACTCTGTCACCTCCCTAAGGAATGCTTGGAACTTCCCCCCTTGGGGCTTCTCTTAGGCCAGCACTTCTTAACCTGGGTTGAGTCTCAAAACCATCTGGGAGCTTTATCAAGAAATTTGTTTCCTTTTTTTTTTCTTTATTGGATCAAGATATTTTTGTGTGTGGACCTAGCCCAAAGCCCCCTGAATTGGATTGGAATCAGTGGGTGTTCATTTGACCCCCACGATGCTTCTGGGATACCTCGGGTTTAAGAACGGCCCTATTTAGGTCAGAACTGGTACATGTTTCTTCTTTGGTGTGAGAATGTATGTGTGCATTTTGAATGGAAAAACCAGAAGAAAGGGGGTGGAGAAAGGGTGTGGAGAGAGGATGTTAGCCCCCAGCCCTAAAACAAAAAACCTTTCATATTTGGTGGTGGGGGGGGGGGGCGGGGGGGGGTATTCTCCACCCAGGTTCGCCATTACTCCTCCTGGGGGTAATCTGGGAGGGGACGCCCAAGGGTCACTCCCATTAGCCTCCAGGTACCTGCCTGCATTACCTGTTGGCCAGGCCAGGTGTCACCAGGTGGCGGGTTATCCCAAGAGGGCCTGGGGCTGGAATTCTGTTGTTTTTCATTTCTCACCACCCCGGCTAGCTCTGGTGGAGGAATGAGGCTGATGGAATGAGCCTGCCAGTGGGTAAAAGGCTGTGGCCTTTGGGCGCCATGCCTCTGACTGCCAGCAGAGCCAAGCCATGGGACCTGCCGGGCTAAATTCCTCCTGCCCACCTCCAATATGAAAAATTTTTCAAATAAGCTCAATCTGTAGTGAGGCCCACAGGGTTTTTAAGGCTGGGAGATTCCTCTAAATTGTAGGTGCCTTGAGGAAATAAAAAGAAAAAACCTTCAACAAATAAAAATCTACCCCTCCCAGTGTCTTAACCATCTACCTTGAGGATTTATTTAAACAGTGTCGGAATCCTTTTATATTGACGACAATTGTGTTGTACAAAGGTTTTCAGTCACCCACACTTGAAAGGAAAAAAAAAAGGAGGGGGGGGGGCTGGAAAAATACCTCCCTTCCCAAATACTGCAGGTAAACAGATTTTTGCTTTGAACGGAATCAGCATTCTCTTCTGCAATAAACAGTTGCTTGCCCTGGGCCATGCAAGGCTCCAGCAATCTGCTTCTGTGCCAGGGACAGGCGTGTGGCCCAGGGGCTGAAATCTTTCAGGGCTTTTTGAGCCTGATAACCAAGAGGTTGGAGAGGCAGGGGAAAGGAGGAGGGAAGGAGGGGGGAAGGGTTTTTAAAAGAACAGCCAGGTGAGAGCTAAAAATGGCTGAATATTCAAAATCAATCGCTAAAGCCTAGCAGATTTCTCAAAGCAGTTACGCAGTCCTGGAACGAAGGGGGGAAAAAAAAAGACTGGAGGGAGGGGGTGGGAGGAGGATAGGCGGTGGGATGCAAGGGGTGTATACTCTCTCGCCACCCCCGCTTTCCTTCCAGTCCCAGCTGCTCTAGAAGGGCGAGCGCTGGGAAAGGAAACAGAGCGGAATCGCTCACATTAGCCTCGCTCCCCGGCTGGCTCTACGGTGACCGGGCGCCTGTGGGCTTGTGTGAGCATCTCCTTTCTAATGTCAATGACAACGACACGAAGGGTGATTTTTTTTTTTCCTGCTCCTCTCCCACTCCTTTGCAGGCAACTTTGTAAAGAATTTACAGATCTGTTGGCGCAGGACCGGACGCCGATTGGGAACAGCCGGCCCAGCCCCATCCTGGAGCCGGGGATCCAGAGCTGCCTCACGCACTTCAGCCTCATCACGCACGGCTTCGGCGCGCCGGCCATTTGCGCGGCGCTCACGGCCCTGCAGAACTATCTCACCGAGGCGCTCAAAGGCATGGACAAGATGTTCTTGAACAACACCGCCACTAACAGGCACACGTCTGGGGAAGGCCCAGGTAGTAAAACTGGCGACAAGGAGGAGAAACACAGGAAATGAAAAATTAAAAAAAGGAAAAAAATGTTTTAAATACAAAAGGAAAACAGGAAAAAAATTAATTTTAGCTTTAAAATACTGGATTGGCTTTGGAAGAATTATATTAGGTAGAATACATATGCAATCAAAATTAAAACAGAACAGCTAAGTAACTTAAAAACTGAGGCGTACCACGGAGCAACAGTATCGGTTCTCAGTGTCTATTGCAAGATACACTTGGAGACAACCGTCCGGATTTTCCACTTCGGTTCTTTTCGAGCTTAGTCATACTGATAATAAAAGAAAACCATGTTTTCCCCCCCATCCCCTTTGGAAAAATAAACATAAGACTAAACATGAGAAAACGCTAACTTATTGGAAGAAAATCGGAGAAACTGTTGGTGTCAGTGCTTTGACAGCTGGTTGACTGAATCGCACGAACTTTTTAATTTTTGATATATTTTTAGGAAACTGTCTCGCGAGTCCCCGCCCTTCCCCCCTCACCTCGCCCTTCTCCCAACTACCCTTTTCTATTCTGCCCTCCCTCCCTCCCTCCCTCCCTCCCTCGAGCTGTCACGGGAGTCTGCCGGGATGAACGAGAGTGTGGTTAGGCCTTTTGCATTGTGTTTCAGGCCCCTCGGCCCCCCTGCCCCACCCCAGCGTTTCAAACTCACCGGTGCGGGCTCCGGGCCAGCCGCTTGCCTACTTAGGGAGGGCGGGGTGGGAGGCCATCGGAGATGCAGGCGGCGGTGGCTGCAGCTTCTGGTACCCGCCCTGAGCCAAATCCGGACCAATAGGTTGATTCAGACTCATCATCAGTTCTTTTCAGAAATGTTACTAGTTCCCAGCCTTGCCAGCATCGGCATACAGAGAATCTTGCGTTTGTTATATTTGTGTCATCTACCAATTTTAAGAATAATAGTAAAAAAAAAAAAACCAACCCACACCACAATATGAATACGTTGATTAGTATGTAATTCCTTCGGAGGGGTATGTACCATTTCATTCTCTTCTGTTTTCCAAAGCTTTGCCCGCATGGTTTATGAGCTTCTTCAAAGAGGACTGGGGCTTCCTACACAATCTATAAGGTACAGAGAAAAAAAAAATCCGATCCCTTTTTAATCAAAGCCTGTGTGTCAGGATTCTGCAGGGGCACTTCTTTAAAGAAGCTCAAAGGGAATAATTTAGAAAGTGGCCAATAAGAGATGGAAGCAGCTCTGAGTCTAGTTGCTAACAGATACCTCATTGTGGAATTCTGTGGAACGGCTGAACTGCAAAACGAATGTTAGGGGAGAGGAGTAAGGGTTCTTGGAGCCCCCTATTTTAACAGTACTGCCCTGCCTTTAAAATGGGTTCTATTTCCTTGGGCTCTTTGGCGACTGCTATGTTAGCCGGCAGAGAAGCAGCGTTGGGAATGTCGTGGGGTGGAGAGTGGGGGCAAGCTCCCATGTTTCAGCAACAATTGCTTTCTTACAAGATGCTTTATGAATGAGGCACTCTCCCTCTCCCAGGCGTGCGCTTGTTTTGGTATATGATGCTAAAATAATGCAAAGTGAAAGGAGATGTATTTCAGCTTTGAATTTCACCGTCTGGATATACAGTACTGGGGCTATTCCCAGTGGATACAGTTTCATGCATTTAAGATCTCTCTCTCCTGGCAGCCCCTCTCCTTTCTTGAGTTTTATCTGCGCATTATCTGGAAATAAGATCTGGAACCCATTGTCCCCACCCTCCCCAAAGCGGTGGGAAGTCCCCTGGGGAGGGGTGGGTGAGGTAGTTCTCTGAATTTAGTATCCATACAGACACCTCTTTATACAAAGTAGACTTTAGGACCTTTGCAATATTCCAGTTAGGACCCTCTGGGACGCTCAGTTCTGCCGCCAGGGTGGGTCTTGGCCTCGGAAGGTTGAAGGGCTGCGTTTAGGAAGCTGCTGAGAGCTTTGTGCAGACATTTTTTATGGGGGAGGGAGTTAGGGAGCTGGTTTCAGGTCACCAGGAGGGCCCAAGCAAGGGTTAATGTGACACTGCCAGCTCCTTCGGGGGGCTCAGCCCTAGAAGAGTGGAAGGAGTACCAAGGCCGGGAACTAGACCTTAGGGAGAGTTATGTAGACACTCCATCTCTCCCCAGCTCAGAAGCCTGCGCCTTGGTCCCAGGGCCTGGCCGCTGGTATTAGATGTATTCTGATTGCCAAAGGCCAGGAGAAACCACACTGAAAACCATCGTCTCCTTTCCTTGCAGGGCAACGCGCCCCACGCGTGTGACGTGCGAGAGACGCGATGGACGCGCCTTGCTCTTACTGTGCAGGTCCTGAGAGCGCGTGGGCCACTCGCGCCCAGTCGTGTTGAGGACATAGAATCAGCCGCTGGAGGGGCCGCGGGCCGCCTGGGCCCTTCCCGCTCTCGGTCTCATCTTAAGGGCTAAGGCGACCGAGATAGCCCCACTCTCCAGTAGGTAATGGGGAGGCGTCCTGGGGGCTGCAGGCGGGCAGGGGTCTCAGCACGGCCTAGGCGCTTTGCTCCCAGCGGCCACCCAGGGCGCCTGCTCCTGGAGGGCGGCGAGTGGCCTAGAACTGTCCAGGGAACCGGAGTTTCCCCCACCTTTGCTAGGACGAAAACTCTCTCCATCCTCAGGCTCCAGAAGCGGGTGACGGAATAGGAATGGTCTTACTTGGCTGCGCAGGCTTCCGTGGTCCTGCACCCTCGTTCCCAAGTCCCTCCCACGCCCCACCCAGGAGGGCTGGATGCGCGTCTCCTCCGCCCCCAACCCGGGGTGGAGACAGCCCTGGCCCCCTCGCCCTTTTGCACTTCTTTCCTGTGCCACCCCGCCCCCTTGCTTTCCTTAGCCAGGCCCGCTATGTTTATCTGGTAATTGAGTTATTAGAAGATTGGGTTTCCTCGGGCCCATAAATCAATAAACAGGATTAACGCAAGAGTTTGCCTTTTTTTAAAGCGAGCTTTTCTGAGTTTTGTTTTCAAACCAAACAGGTGAGTTGCAGCTCTCCCCCCACCCTGCTCTCTAGACAATTTTATCAGGTCCCGGCCTCCTCCCTGATGCTCGGGCCCAAACCAAAAGCACTAAAGATAGAAAGGAGCAGTCAGGCCGCAGCCCGCGGCCCCACACACTTTCCACTTTGCAAGTTCCTTTGGAGTTTCTAACGATTTTCCCGACCATTCTCCATTCTCGTCCACCTGCCTCTTCCTATAGGAATTGTCAGTCTCAGGGGCGCTTCCCCACCTGCCCCGCAAATAGTGGCTCTGGTTCTGGGTGAGCATCCCATCTCAAAGTGATCTTGAACTTCTCCCCCAAACTCGGAAGGTACCCCACCCCTGCCCTGCCCCAATTATCTTGAACTTTCTTTCCCCCTCTCTGGATCCATACCTTAGCTTTCTCCACCCCCCACATAAAGAACCGAAGAGGCTTTTCAGAGATTGGGGGCTGTTTTATTTTCTTTGGCCACTGGAAACTACTTTCTCTCGAGCAATTATTTCATATCCTAAGAAAACGTTGGTCGAATGGAAAACCTGAAACCCCAAACTTATCTACACACTGTCTGTCCGGTACAAAGCCTTACTTAAAATGGCAACTTGTTCCTCCTTGGAGTGTTTATAGAGAATTTGTCATCACATCTGATATCCTGGAAGGGTAATACATTACATGGAAAGGAAATAACCTTAAACCGTCTGATGTTGCCTCAAGAGCCCACACAGTGTTTCCCCTCCTGTGCTGATGTATGTTAAATTATGGGGGAGGGGGGGGGAAGAAAAGAAAAAATATATCAAAATTAGTTTTCTTTTCTTTTTAAAAGCGGAACAAGAACTATTCTTTAAAGGTCAAAATTGACTCCTCTGCTGAGTTGGTCTCTAATTCACTAACATAGTTTTTGCCACATAACTTCAATCTGTTGACTCTTCGGGGGAAGGGCGCGGGAGGGTGTCCATGTTAAGTTTGTATATATTTATTTATGCTTAATTTAATGGGAATGTGTAAATATGGCGAGCAAGTAGTTTGGGATTATTTATCTGTGAATCTATACCTCTGTGAATGGGTGGTTAAAAAAAAAACACAAAAAACCCGCTTGACCCTAGATAGAATCCTATCTGACTTTTTCTGTTCTTTATAGACAAGCTGTTATGGTAATGGGTAGAAATTGGTTTATTGTCCAGTGTTGATCTGATTTACATAAATAAAAAGATCGTTGTGTTTTTGTTGTGTTTTCATCCTCAGTTTCTTGAATATGGAAATTGTTTAATTCAGAAATTAACAGACAGAAAACTCCAACCCTAGCCAAGAGGTTTTTGTCCCCCCTCACCAAAACACAGGCAATGTCTTTGTTACATCATAAATACAATAAATTTCGCTTCTCAGAAAAACTGACACTTTTGTTTTCAGTAGAGGTGTTTTAAAATTCCAAACTGACACTCTTCTCTCCTATTTCTAACCAAGTTGCAATAAAAGCTCATGTTAATGGTATCTCTTGCTTTATTTTGCCCTTTTAAAGAATGAGGCGTCAAACTTACTTCCCAATACATACATTCAGTGACATGTCTCAGCACCTACAGGGGCTCTGGGTGCAAATAAAAGATGATGCTCCTCTCCTCACTGCTAGTAGTACAGCGTTCTGGCACAGTGTTCCTTGAAGGAGAGGGTTCACGAGAGATGCCCATAGGGCCAGGTATGGGCTGCCGCACCCCAAAACCTTGGGATGTGGGATCTGGAGGAGCTAACTGGCTCACTTCAGGATTGAGCCCAACCCTGACCTCATAAGCAGTGCAAGGCCCTCCATAAACAAATGAGGAAAAAGACCCTTGACCCAGAGGACCAAAGGTGGAGCTGTCTTAGGAGCTTGGTTCCTACCTTAGGCTCAGAGACTTAGAGAAGCCAGAGCCTTTCTCATTTGGGTTAATGGGCTGCAGCCCAGTCCTAATGGGCTGCAGTGATCAAACATCTCAATCTGTATTCCATCCCAAGGCTTGGGCGTCTTCCCCGAGGCTAGGAAAATAAAGTCGTCCAAGATGTTACACAGTTTGGAGGAGTCACTGTTTCTTTTTGTAACTCAAGGTCTTTATCTATAAAATGTGTGCCTCCTAAGGTCCTTTCCAACATCAACATTGCCTAATCATTAAAAGCAGAAAAAGCAGTATGTATATACATTTGAGGAAAATAGGCAAAGTTAAATCTTGATAAGCTCAGGGTATGAGAGTACTTCACATATAGTTGGTGCTCAGTTATTTAATAAAATGCCTCCTGTATCAATTTTGTGTTTTTCAGGTAATCATTCCCAGTTGGACTTCCTTATAGGGAAAGACAGAAGGGGCAATGTAATCTGCTTTATGTGAGATTTCCCACTCCAGGTCTTCTTTATTAATTAAAAGGGGGGGTGCATCATGGCTAGAACTATACATTATTGAATCAAAGAAAAGACCCCCCTCCAAAGGAAGGGAAGTAGAAGGAAGGAAAGAAAACCAAGGGAAGTGTGATAAAGAAGGCATACAATCCATTCATCTAGAAAGAATATAGGCGTAAATCTATGTCTCTGGCTCAACGGTATTATATTGAGCTTCCTTTTCATTTGCGTTTTGGAGAGCGAGTATTTGGTTACCACGGGGATTACACAAAGAGAGTGGTGAGTAATTTCCATATCCCATGGCAAATTTCTCTACATAAAGTTTAGCTCTAGCTCCGGAGAAACAGACCTGCCATCTATTATCCTACAGGTAAATTACAGACCTCCCTCACCCCTACCCATCACCACTGGACAAGGAGAGGATCGGAGACAATCACCTTTACTGAGTAAAACCCAAGATCCTGAGGGCCCTGAATATGAGGGGAAAAACAAACAAACAAACAACAACAACAACAAAAATCTAGAGGAAAGACCTGGAAGGAAAAATTGGGAAGGGAAGGAAAGGGTCGGAAAGCCGGAGACAACCTTGGCTAACAGAAGGGCCCTGGGCTGCCTGTCTGAGCTCCTCAGCCCCTTTGTTACTGTCTTACCCGGCTGCGGCTGCGGAGGGGGCGAAGAAAGACCTGCAGCAGTGGACCCTGACCACAGGCCCAGCGCGGGGACCCTAGGTGACCTGGGAGAAGTGTGGCTGCTGCCCCTGCCTGCCTGGAGGCAGCCCACGCGGGTGAGCTGTTTACAGTTCTCCCAAAGCCGGCCTGCCTGCCGGTATTAGCGGCTTAAGGGCCCTGGTTAAAAATAATGCTAGGAGGAAGATCCCATTATTTTTTTATGAGGCCACGTTCTTTTTCTTCATGTGCAAATAAGAGCTCCGTGGGATCTCTTTCTAGGGACCCAGGGCAGCCTGAGCTTAGAGCCACCAGAGAAATGCGGACCCAATGGGATCTGCCCCTTCTCGAGGGCGCTCTGGACTCCCCAACACAAGCTGCCTCCCGCGCCAGGTCTTCCAGGGCGCTTGTCCGTCATGTTGAAGCCTCAGAAATTAAACGCGCAGCTCACAAGTCCATTAATTTTAGCCTCCCATTAATCTATTTATAAGTGAGCCAGCGCTGGCTCTATAAATACAGTCCTATAAAATTGAACTCCTTCCCATAAATCTTCCAAGTTGTTTATTTACATGTATTCCCTCGCCCTCTAATGAGCCTCATTTAACTTAGGGGAGACCCTGGTGGGGACGGGCGCGCTCACCCTTCGCCAGCCTCCCCGCTGGCACCGTGGGCGCCCGGGGAAGGGAGGGATGGCGGGAGTGGGCCGGGCAGAGGAGGAAAACTCATTTTTCCTTCTTGACTTGGTTTCCTTGTTTCTCTCCCAAACTCACTCTCTCCCTATTTCCCATCACCAGCTCCACGTTGATTTATATCGTCATAAACAGCATTCTTGCAACCATCCTTCCCTCATAGCTTGGGGTGAGCTCCTTTTTCACTTCCCTGGCAGCCACTATTTTTAAATCAGACCTCATAAATAACCTGCAGGCTGCCTCGGGATGAGGTCAGTGCCAAGTCTCTCCGGGTGCACATTCTCAGCTCGCGGCCCTCCTTGCCCCTCCCCAGGTCACCGCCTGGCGCACTCGCCCGTTTCCAAAAGGGACGGCCACGCGGAGACCGGACTGGAGCGCCTGGACCCACACACCCCGCCAGGGTCTGCGAGCGCACGGACCACGCGTGCGCCGCCCCCTGCGCCCAGCACGCGCGCACGGCGCCGCTGCCCGCGTGCAGGCACGTTCCCGGGGTTGCCGGCAGGGTTCGAGCAGCGCGCAGGCGCGGACACCCACAGGCGCGCGCACGCACGCACGCGCCGGGGCTCCCCGGGGCATAATTCCAGCCCCCGCACGGGCCCAGGGCTCAGCCGCCCTCCCCGCCGGGCTTCTGGTGCGCGCCCTGGGGTCAAGGCGCAGTTTGCCAAGGACTGCTGCGTGGGCACGCTGTTCATACGCAGACTGTGGGAGCAGGTTTGTCACACAAGTTCAGCACGTTCCACGCTGGTCAGAGGCGAGCAAGGTCAGGCCGCAACTTCTTGCCCACTTGTTCGAAACCTATTGGTCCCCGCGCACTCTGCCTTTGCTCTTCTCTTCCGAGGGCTGGAGCTGTAACTCAGGCGAGAGGCGACCCAACCCAAATAGGGGTCACACCTGCTGCCGGGAGAGGCCTTTGCATAAAAATGTTCTTAAAATTTTTTTAAGCAGTGGAATAGCCAATGGACTTAGCAAAGCGTGACCTGCCCAGGCGCACGGAGGGCAGCTCTGGCAGTCATCTGTGACTGGACCACCAGGTAACGTCCTGGACGTGCCTGCTCACGGGGATATTAACAGACATTGCCAGGGTGTGGCTGTCAGATGTCATTAGCCAACGCACTTAACCGGGAGGAGGGCACGGTCGGGGCATATGTGCGTAGGCTATTTTGGGGAGGTCAGAGTCTGCCCTGTGTTACAGCCACATGTTCTGAGTTGCACATTTATCGAATGGCTGGAGTAAAGGATGAGGGCTGGGCAACGTCTCTCCGGGCGCTGGCACATGAGCAGTGGGATACAGAGATGTGGGAAGGGGAGCTTGACTGGCACTGGCATGCAAGTCTTTCCGGGGTGGAAATTAGGACCCACAGTAGACGGGGTGTACTTCGTAGACTGAGGTGGAGGACCAGGTCCACCCAATGAGTTCTAGCGCTCATCATGTGAACCACGGAGTCCTTAGCTCGAGAACTCTGAGTCCAGATGTGCAATTAGAGGTGGGCAGCTGGGAAACACCCCATTACAGGAAGGGCCTGAGCTGTTCAAGTGGGCAAAATGAGTGCCAGCGAAATCCGAGTTTCCAAGGAAATAGGATTTTAGATGGTTTATACACAGCGGTGGGTTTTACTGCTAAGCTGTTCTAGGTTTGGAAAGGGGCAGAGAGGGGTTGTACCACATGGTTGGAAAAATCCCAGTCAGTACAAAGAAAACAACCATAAAACCAAACCAAACCTCAGTCCTCCAATAGTCAGCCTCTCCATCTCCTCGCCCCCCCACCCCTTCCAGCAACCCTCTTCCCCCCAAAAGTGCCAGCACTAACTTGGAGATCAAGGTATCAATCTTGGACCAGGATGAATTTTGTGTACATGTTATCCTCCTAGACCAGTGATGGCGAACCTTTTGAGCGCGGCGTGTCAGCATTTTGAAAAACCCTAACTTAACTCTGGTGCCGTGTCACATATAGAAATTTTTTGATATTTGCAACCATAGTAAAACAAAGATTTATATTTTTGATATTTATTTTATATATTTAAATGCCATTTAACAAAAATCAACCAAAAAAATGAGTTTGCGTGTCACCTCTGACATGCGTGTCATAGGTTCGCCATCACTGTCCTAGACAAATGATTCTACCAGCAAACTAGGTGAGACCTTTTTTAGTTGGGGTTGTTTACACACACACACACACACACACACACACACACCAAACACACACACAGAACAAACACACAATATCACAATATGGGAACTCCCCAATACCTGCACTAACACAACAACCATATCAAAACATTTACTCATGTGGATTTACTTTGTCATGAGAGTTCCATGTGTTAAGGGACCAAGAAAAGATTTTTTTTTCCATTTCTTGGGGGTTAGGGCTTTTGCTTTCAAGATAGAATTATTTTGGCCAGAGATTCCTAAAGACAGGAAATGTTCACGGTTTGAGGCAGAAGCACAGTTCACTCTTTTTATGTGTGGCTTCACACACTCCCCTTTTTGCTACTTCTAGGAGGGGGAGGTATAGAAGTCAGGAGCCCTACCAACAAAATGGGACCCCTGAGTGATTCATTTACTTTTATGTTCAATCTAAATATTCTTCTCTTCTTTAAAGATCAGGGCCATTCAAGACAATGGGGCCAAATAATCCGAGAAGGATCAAGCTGATCTGGGTCCCTGTGACCTTTCCCCCTTCCTTTAATTCTCAATAGTGAACATCTGTGTTCCGT